CTATTAAAAAGATGTTTTCATATTTTTATAAGGAATGTTTCGTTCCTCTCTCCAACTCCAACCAATATGGGGTCTCACAATCCACCCCCTTAAGACCCACCGTCTTTGTTGGCACACTGCTTAATGTTTGGCTCTGATATCATTTGTAATAGCTCAAATCCTCTTTTAGTAGATATTGTCTATTTTAGCTTATTAACCATCACTCGGAGTTTCGAAGCTTCGACCATCTCATTCTCTCCTTTCTGTTCCTTCCATGTCAACACTTCGATGTCATCTTTCTGTTCCTCATCTCATTCAAGACCGCCAGCAGCTTTATAACAGCAATATAGTTGTTCATTTGAAAATATATTGATTTTTTTTTATTAGGTTAAATTAACAAAAATACATTTCAAAAATCTTTTAAAAGTTTAATAATATTTCAAAATTTTAAAAAGAATTCTCTAAAAAAATTCTTACGTATTTCAAAAATATATTTGAGCTTTTATTATTATTTTTTAAAATATCTCATTAATACTATTCAAAAAAAAAATTCAAAAGTTCAAAAATACATTTACAAATATTATATTTAAAAATGTCTATAAAATTTTAAAAATAGTATTAACACCTCAAATTTATTAAAAAAATATATATAATTCTTATCATAAATATATGAAAAATAATCGTCTATCAAGACCTCGAAGATTATCTCTAAACTTTCTAATATTACTTTTGAAAGTTTACGATAATTTTGAAAGATAGTATCATTTTAAACATTTTAAAAAAGGTTAATGGTGTTTTTGAAATTTTTAAACGAGTTTTAAAGTGTTTTTGAAGTTTTTTAGAAAGTTGAAGAATATTTTGAAATAAAATATTAATCATTTCATTTAAAATTAAGGTAAAGTTATTTTTTATTTTTTATTTTTAAATATTAAGGATATATTATATTTTTTGTACCGTTTAAGAATATTATTAAAAAAAATTATAAATTTAAGATATTTTTAGATCGAATATAAAATTTAAATTACTTTTATTAATTTAAAAACGGAAGTCATGTTTTATATTTATTTGAAAATCCTCTCAGTTAAATACTTTTATCTACAAATATATAAAACAATGAAAGAAAAAAAAGTAATATTATTCTTTTCTTTTCTTTTTTGTCTTATTTTATTCTTTAAATTTTTTCTAGATATCAAATATAAATAAAATGAATACAAATATTTTAAAATTTAGTAAATTATTTTTAAAAAATCATTACAAAATACTGTAATTCTAATAAAACAGGAAATAGATGTACTTTTTATTTTAAATTTTGTATCCTTATATTTTTTTTATTAAATAAATTAATATGATATATTAAATAGGTAACATAAAAATATAGATATATAGTATGAAAGTTATTGAAAATACTTAAAGTTTTAGATACTTTAACCAAAATAGTCGTTAACTGTCGTAGTGTACGAATAATGAAACATTCGTAATAATCTTTTTCCATCTTCGACACATTTTTCGCCTTCGAAAAAATCATAAGTTATTCCTTGTTATTTTTTTCCGATGGAATTAAATTTTTTTGTATTCTTAAAAATTGATGTGTTTTTTCGTTCACTCTTTATTTTTATTTTTTGTTTTATGTTTGTTTTTTCTTTTTATTATCATTTAATTTTTATAAAATAATTTTAAATTAATTTTATAATTCGTTTCAATATATTAAAAACAATTATATTATTTATTCTAATACAATAAAGTATTCTTATACTACATAATATGATTGAACATGGTTTGATTTGCTTAAATCCTTTTTACCGGTAATCTAATCATTTATTTATTTAAATTATTAATTCTTTTTGTAAAAAAATTATTAACTAATTAGTTACTTAATAATAATGAAAAATTTATATCTATTCAATTAAAAAATGCAGTAAAATTGTAAATTTATATATTTTTAATATTATAGTAAAAATTTTAAAGTCAATTAATTTATATAAAATAAATGCAAATAACATTGATTTTGAATAAAAATTTACCCATATAACATAAAAACAAAATAAGTTGTTATTAAATATATTAAATTAATACAATTATTTATGCACCTCAATCCTATTAAATTAATAATAATTTGATTATTTGTCAAATGATTGTCTTTTTACCAAAATTTGTTTGGTGATAGAAATTAAAAAATCTAAAATTTAAAGTTTTATTAATTAAATAAAAATAAAATGACTAGAATTGTGAAAAATCTTTAAAATAATATGAAATTTATTTATTTGTATGAAATTTTGATTTTTCATCTTATTCTGAAGCATTTTATTTTGATTCAGGCATCTTACAGCTATTTAATTAGTCAACAAAAAAAACATTATTTAAATCAAATTTGGTGTTTTGAGTAATCACATAAACACGATGGAAGGAGAATCACATACACAAATTCCCCACGTTCTCATCTTTCCACTGCCATTTCAAGGCCATATCAACCCCATGCTCAAGCTCGCCGAGCTTCTTTCACTCGCCGGCATCAACGTTACTTTCCTCAACACGCCTCACTCCCACCGCCACCTCACTCTCCACTCCGACGTCCTCTCCCGCTTCTCCCGCTTTCCCGCCTTCCGCTTCCTAACCATCACCGACGGCCTTCCCCCCGACCACCCTCGGACCTTCGACTACTGCGCCGACTTCATCACCTCCTTCGAAACCGTCACCAAGCCCATTCTCAGAGACTTTCTCGTTTCCGGACATTTTGGGTCCGATCTCACTTGCGCTATACTCGATGGGTTCTTTAAGTTTCTTGTTGATGCGGATGATGCTGAAATTAAGATACCCATTTTTGGTTTCCGTCTATTCAGTGCTTGCTCTGTTTGGACTTATTTTTGTGTTCATGATCTCATTCAAGATGGACAGCTTCCTATTCGAGGTTTCTTCTTCGACCCATTACCAATTGGAAATAAATGTTTATCTGTTTCCTGAACTCTGTTTTATGTGTTGAAATTACAGGAGAGGAGGACATGGACAGAGTGTTGACAAACGTACCAGGAATGGAGAATGTTCTGAGATGCAGAGACCTCCCAAGTGCCTGTCGGGTTACAGACACGAACGACTCTGTTCTGCAATTCAATATCATACAAACCCAACGAAGCTCTGAATTTCACTCTGTTATATTCAACTCCTTCGAAGATTTGGAAGGACCCGTTCTCGAAAAGATTCGAACTCTGTGTCCCAATCTCTACGCCATTGGACCCCTTCACGCCCTTCTCAAAGCCAAACTCCCCAATGAAACAGAGTGTTTGAACAATCTGTGGGAGGTCGACCGGAGCTGTTTGAAATGGCTGGACAATCAGCCGCCGGGATCCGTGATTTATGTCAGTTTTGGAAGCATTACGGTAATGGGAAGGGAGAAGTTCATGGAGTTTTGGCATGGGTTGGTGGATAGTGGGAGGAATTTTTTGTGGGTCATAAGGCCAGACATGGTGAGGGGCAAAAATGGGGACGTTGAAATTCCGGCGGAGTTGGAGGAGGGGACGAGAAAGAGAGGGTACACGGTGGGTTGGGCGCCGCAAGAGGAAGTGCTTGCCCACGAAGCCGTTGGAGGGTTTTTGACGCACAGTGGTTGGAACTCCACTTTGGAGAGCGTGGTAGCGGGGAAGCCAATGATCTGTTGGTCTTATATTTCGGATCAGCTGGTGAACAGTAGATTTGTGAGCAATGTGTGGAAATTGGGGTTGGATATGAAGGATGTGTGCGATAGAGGAACCGTGGCAAAAATGGTGAACGAGCTTTTGGTGGATCGAAAAGAGGAATTCATGAGATCGGCGGCGGAAATGGCCAATTTGGCTAAACGAAGTGTGCGCCCTGGTGGATCGTCGTACGCTGATTTTGACCGTCTCGTCCAAGACATTACAGCTCTGAGTCAACAAAATAGACACAACTAGTGGCCTTCAACAGAATTTGGTTCAAATTTGGTGCAGTTTTCTTGGGGAAAGGTTTGTTTAACCATCTTGTACGTGTGTGACTTCCAATGTTTAAATAAAGTTTAAATTTAGTTAATGATCCACCTTCAAAATTGGATTTAGGGTATGATAACGAACCATTACAAGAGAAATAAAATTCGAATTACGTTACTATCGAATACTTAATCATTCTACGAGTAAGATATTTCATGTCAAGCTTGAATAATTTTAAACATATAATCTAAACAAGATAAAATTGCAAATAAGCTTAGTCATTAGCTAAATGAAAGTTAAACAACCCTTAACTCTAATGATGAGAAATTCTCTAAGAAAAAGTAAAATTCAGATTGCCTCGTTAATCTAATAAATTTAATCCTTGGCTAAAGAAAATGTAAGAACACTCATCGAAATTTGAATCACTCCACAATCAAAATTGATCATGTCAAGCATAAATGATTATAGACATGCAATTTAAACTAATTAAAAAGAAATTTAGACATTAAGCTAAAGAAAAACAAACAAGTCTACTGTACAAATATAACATATATGACTTTATACAGCTTCAAAATAAAATCTCTTAACCTCCCTTGACACATTTTAAGAGTGGTAACTTTCATATTGATACATTTCGAGAGTTCTAGCTTTCATATTTTATGTTCATAAAAACTACTACTGTATTGGAAGGGTAGAGGTTTGATTTATTTTATTTTCTATTTTTTTTAATGCAATTAGCCCGCATGCATATAAAAGATATAAATATATATGGACTTTTTTTTTCTAACTTAGACTTTTCTATATATATATAATTGAAGGACTCTTATTTAAATACGTCTATAATGTTATATTTAGAAATAGTATTAATATCTAAAATATATTCCATAATTAATTATTATAATATATAAAAAAATATTATTATTATTATTATTTTTTTTTTTTGGGGGAAAACTTATCAAAATTTGAATTCTGAATTCCATGGTCCCCACTTATTTGTTTTTTTCACCAACAAGACAAGAAAAAGATACCAAATGAAAAGTTGTATTTTTGTTTTATGTAAAATTTTAAAAACACTAAATCTAATTAATCTATTTAATAAATTTAAAATTACTGAATTTTGAATTTTGTATCACACACTCTCATCATTGGATTTCCATGGAAGGAGAACCAGAAGCTCCCCACGTTCTTATCTTTCCCTTACCTTTTCAAGGTCACATCAACTCCATGCTCAAGCTCGCCCAGCTTCTCTCACTCGCCGGCATCACCGTCACTTTCCTCAACACGCCTCACTCCCACCGCCAACTCACTCACCACTCCGATGTCCTCCTCCGCTTCTCCCGCTTTCCCGCCTTCCGCTTCCGAACCATCACCGACGGCCTTCCCCCGGACCACCCTCGGTCCTACGACTTCTTCGCCGACATCGTCGCCTCCTTCGAAACCGTCACCAAGCCCATTCTCAGAGACTTTCTCGTTTCCGGCCATTTTGGGTCCGATCTCACTTGCGCCGTACTCGATGGGTTCTTTAAGTTTCTTGTTGATGCGGAGGATGCTGAAATTAAGATACCTGTTTTTGGTTTCCGTACTGTCAGTGCTTGTTCTATCTGGACTTATCTCTCTGTTCCTCGTCTCATTCAAGATGGCCAGCTTCCTATTCGAGGTTCCTTTTATCTGTTTTGGTTATTAATTCTGTTTAATTTATTATCATTTGTATCTCTCTGTTCAATTGAGTGCGATCAATCTTGCTTCAGCTTCCACTAAAACAATTGATTTCAAGGCATTTTTGGTTGTGACTATCGGTACCAATGTTTATTTGTTTTCTAAATTCTATTTTGTGTGGTTAGATGTTTGTAATTTATTAAAATTACAGGAGAGGAAGACATGGAGAGAATGATAAGAAACGTACCAGGAATGGAAAATCTTCTCAGATGCAGAGACCTCCCAGGTTTCTGTCGGGTCACAGACATGAACGACTATCTTCTCCAATTCATTGTCGAACAAACCCAACGAAGCCACGAGTTTCACTCCCTCATATTGAACTCATTCCAAGATTTGGAAGGACCCATTCTCGAAAAGATTCGAACTTTGTGCCCCAATCTCTACGCCATCGGACCCCTTCACGCCCTTCTCAAAGCTAAATTCCCCAGCGAAACAGAGTCTTTGAACAATCTGTGGGAGGTCGACCGGAGCTGTTTGAAATGGCTGGACAATCAGCCGCCGGGATCCGTCATTTACGTCAGTTTTGGAAGCATTACGGTAATGGGGAAGGAGAAGCTCGTGGAGTTTTGGCATGGGTTGGTGGATAGTGGGAGGAATTTTTTGTGGGTTATAAGGCCAGACCTCGTGAGGGGCGAAAATGGGGATGTTGAAATTCCGGCGGAGTTGGAGGAGGGGACGAGAAAGAGAGGGTGCATGGTGGGTTGGGCGCCGCAAGAGGAAGTGCTATCCCACGAGGCAGTTGGAGGGTTTTTGACGCACAGTGGTTGGAACTCGACTTTAGAGAGCGTGGTAGCTGGGAAGCCAATGCTCTGTTGGTCGTATATTGCGGATCAGCAGGTGAACAGTAGATTTGTGAGCAATATGTGGAAATTGGGGTTGGATATGAAGGATGTGTGCGATAGAGGAACCGTGGCGAAAATGGTGAACGAGCTTATGGTGGATAGAAAAGAGGAATTCATGAGATCAGCGGCGGAAATGGCTAATTTGGCGAAACGAAGTGTGAGCCCTGGTGGATCGTCCTGTGCTGATTTTGACCGTCTCCTCCAAGACATTAGATTGCTGAGCCAATAGACAACAGCAGAGAGCTGATATTATTGAGGGTGATTTGTAGCATGCGTGTAAGAGTCACTTGTGCATTTGTTTAACAAAGTACACTTGGTGCATAATTCAACAAGTCTCCTCCACCAAAAATATAATTGCTTACATTGAATATTCTAACTACAAAACAAAAAAAAGAAAGGGCCGCCTTCCACCTTCCCCATCCCAATAAAATCCGACCACAATCCCTAACAGAGTCATCCAATTTCCAATGTCAATCGCCATGGAAACACAAACAAACCCTCATGTTCTTCTCTTCCCCGCCCCCGCCCAAGGCCACATCAACCCCATGCTCAAGCTCGCCGAGCTCCTTTCTCTTGCCGCCATTCCAGTCACATTCCTCACCACCGAACACTCCCACCGCCAACTCACCCTCCACTCCGACGTCCTCCTTCGCTTCTCTCGCTTTCCGACCTTCCAATTCCAAACCATCGCCGACGGCCTCCCCGACTCCCACCCTCGCACCTTCTCCCAACACCTCCCTGACATGTTATCCTCCTTCATATCCGTAATCAAGCCCCTCTTCAGAGACATGCTGGCCTCCTCCCATTTCACCCCAAATCTCACCTGCCTCATCCTCGACGGCTTCTTCAGCTTCCTTGTTGACATCAACGACGATTTCGTTAAAGTCCCCATCTTTTGTTTCCGTTCTTTGAGTGCTTGTTCTTCCTGGTCCGTTCTCTCCATTCCTAATCTCATCCAACACGGCCAACTTCCTATTAAAGGTACTCTGTTATAATCCTTCGATCACATCTTAATTATTTGAGCTATATCTTAAATCGAACATGTGAAAATTGCAGGGGAGGAAGATATGGATAGGATCATAGATAAGATTCCAGGTATGGAGAATCTTCTCAGATGCAGGGATCTGCCTGGCTTCTGCCGAGCCGCTGACCCAAATAATGACCCAGTTCTGCAATTCGTCGTGAATCAGTCGATTCGAAGCACAAAATTCGACGCTCTCATTTTGAACTCATTCGAAGATTTGGAAGGACCCATTCTCTCAAAGTTTCGAACTTTATACTCCACAATCTACCCCATTGGACCCCTTCATGCCCTTCTCAAAGCCAAACTCGCCAACGAAGAAACAGAGTCGTTGAACAGTATGCGGGAGGTCGACCAGAGCTGTTTGCCGTGGCTCGACAATCAGCCGCCGGGATCCGTGATTTACGTCAGTTTCGGAAGCATTACGGTAATGGGGGATCACGAGCTGATGGAGTTTTGGCATGGGTTGATCGATAGCGGGAGGAATTGTTGAAATATCATCACTAGCTCAATAGAGTCAAGCCCAATAATTGTACTAGCCCAATAGAGTCAAGCCCAATAATTGTACGAGCCCAGTATATTTATTTTAGTAGAGATTTTAGGAGAAAGAGAGGTAGATATTTTAGGAGAAAGATTCAATTTGTTAGGTCTAGATTCAAATCGGTTAGGTCTAGATTTAGATTGGTTAAATATAGATTGTTTACTCTTAGTATAAATACCCCCACCCTACGTAGGTTATTCATCCAAGAAATCCAAAAACAATAAAAAGTAAAAGTATTCTACAGAGTGTCTTGTATTCAGGTTATTCATCCAAGAAATCCAAAAACAATAAAAAGTAAAAGTATTCTACAGAGTGTCTTGTATTCTCTTCTCGATTGGTCTTAATAAAGAGTGCGAGTGTTTCCCACAGTGAGTTGTGTTCAACAATGTTAGGAATCACGACTCTCCACAATGGTATGATATTGTCCACTTTGAGCATAAGCTCTCATGGCTTTGCTTTGGGCTTCCCCAAAAGGCCTCATACCAATGAAGATAGTATTCCTCACTTATAAACCCATGATCTTCCACTAAATTAACCAATGTGGGACACTCCCAATCCCAATAATCCTCAACAATCCTCCCCTCGAACAAAGCACACTATAAGCCTCCCCTGAGGCTTATGGAGCTCTCGAATAGCCTCCCCTTAATTGAGGCTCGACTCCTTCTCTGGAGCCCTCGAACAAAGTACACCATTTGTTCGACACTTTAGTCACTTTTGACTACACCTTCGAGGCTCGCCATTCTTTGTTCGATATTTGAGGATTCTATTGGCATGGTTAGGTTTAGGGCATGGCTCTGATACCATGTTAGGAATCACGACTCTCCACAATGGTATGATATTGTCCACTTTGAGCATAAGCTCTCATGGCTTTGCTTTGGGCTTCCCCAAAAGGCCTCATACCAATGAAGATAGTATTCCTCACTTATAAACCCATGATCTTCCACTAAATTAACCAATGTGGGACACTCCCAATCCCAATAATCCTCAACAGGAATTTCTTATGGGTTGTGCGGCCGGACCTCGTGAGGGGCAAAAATGGGGATGTCGAAATCCCGGCGGAGTTGGAAGAGGGGACGAGACAGAGAGGGTACATGGTGGGATGGGCGCCGCAAGAGAAAGTGCTTTCCCACGAAGCGGTCGGAGGATTTTTGACCCACAGCGGTTGGAATTCGAGCTTGGAGAGCATAGTGGCAGGGAAGCCGATGATTTGTTGGTCGAATGCATTCGATCAGCAAGTGAACAGTCGATTCGTGAGCAATGTGTGGAAGTTGGGTCTGGACATGAAGGATTTGTGCGACAGAGAAACAGTGGCTAAAATGGTGAATGAACTTATGGTCCATAGAAAAGAGGAATTCACGAGATCGGCTGCTGAAATGGCTAATTTGGCTAGACAAAGTGTGAGCCCCGCTGGATCATCGCAACTCAATCTTGACCGTCTCATCGAAGACATTAAGATTTTGAGCCAACAACCAAAGATGCCCAATTAGTCGTTTCAACGGTCACTAGATATATATTGTGTTGAAGAGTCACTAGTAGATGAAAGGTCACTGGTACATGTATAGATAGTATTATATGTATGAATAGATTCATTAGTTCCTAATTAAATAAGTGCATGATTTTTAGATAATGAATGGTAACGAAGAACGTATGTTGGCATTGGTGGAAGGTATAGAAAAATCAAACAAGTATTCTTCGTAATTGTTCGAAGTTCTTTTCTATCAAAGAATTCTACGTTATCACCAATATTTGTGGCCTTCCAGTTTGAATCATCTTTAAACATTACTCAATCCTTCAAATAGAATTAATAAATGTGCACTTATAATAAACACAAAAATTAAAAATTTTAATTGCATTAATAGAAAAGCGTCAATCAAACAACATTCAATTAATTAAACCATTAAGAGTCAATGACTACACCAATCTCTAAGAACAAATAATATTATAGTTTGATTCTTTAAAACATATCTCATTTTTATAATTTCTTTTTATTTTAAAAAAACTCATCATTAATTAGTGAAAATTATTTTAGATTGTTTTATTGTAAAAAAAAAAAATTCATTGGTCAACATTTTTTTGTCCCTTTTTTTTTCATCTTTTTCGTTTTCACCAAACATTAGAAAAGAAACTCATATATATATATATATATATTGTTGAAGATATTTTAAAACTCGTTGAAAATGTCCACCTTTTCAGAAACACCATTAAAAAAACAAACTTTTAAAATTATATATATTTGTCAACATTTAAAACATTAATTATTCAACTTTGAAATTATTTTATTATAAATTTGTTTATACATATTTTATTAAACTTTTGACTTTTGACTTTTGAGTTAAAGATTTGAATGCTATTGTATGGAATATTTTTTAACTTAGGAAAATCATAGTATTATACTTTTTGAAAAATTTAAATTTATTGATTTTTTAAAATTTCAAATATATATTTTAAATAACTAAATTACGTTCGAAATAAATTTAATAATAAAAATAATCTTTATATTGATATGATATCACGATTAATAGTGAAAATAATCTTTATATTAATATGATATCACGATTTAATGAAAAAGCATTAGAATCGAATTTTTACTTTTATTTTTAATCGAATAGTTCGCTAAAGAGATTCTTTTTTCATAATGGAGCATAAAGTCATTTTAATGGTTACGTTACTATTGTTTGACTTCTTATCTATATTATTATTTTAATTTATATGGGTAAAGTAATTCATTTTAAATATGATTAGGGTATCTATTAATTTATAATACATTAAAATCAAAAAGTCTCATCAACAATTATTCACATCTTCCTATCACTAATAAAGGTGTTTTGACAACCGTCTAATTAAATTTGAAATCCTTTTTTAAATTACAAAAAAAAATATAAATATGAAGTAGAAGGCAAACAGTAAGTATATATATATATATATATATATATATAAACGACACCTCATATACATATGTGTGTATGTATGTATATATATATATGGTATGTGCTAACGTGAAAATAAATTAATTTTAAATGTTTGTAAAAGTCGAAAAATATTATTCAAATTTTTTAAAACAAATATATATTTTGTATAATGGGAAAAAGATTTAGGCAACTAAAAAACTGATGCCAATTAATTGGGACCATCTGTCCCTTTCCAAATGTGACATTTTGGACTGCCATCAATGGACCAAAAGAAAAACTGCATTTTTTTTTTTTCTTTTAAATTAATAATATCTCTTGGCGGATTATATATATAATATTATTTTTTGGAAACCGCATATAATCAATTATTTGATTTGAGAATAAATTATTTATTTTGCCTTTATATTTGTAATTTTATTTCCTTTCATGTATCGTCTTGTTTTTATCCTAACCATTTCCCAAATATAGAAATCAATTAATTTACATAAAATTTAGAAAGAAAAACAATAAAAAACTTACCTACTAAATTTAAATTTACAGGTCACTTTTTTAGTCCTTAGTTCCGACTGTTTTAAAACATGTCAATGGTTTGAAGTTTTGGAGGATCAAACTCAATCAACTGAATCGGTAGAATTTAATCGGATTTGATCATAAATTCAAGTTCAGGTATCATACTAAGTCCACATTGAAAAGGAAGTTCAATTCTTATTAATAAAAGATTAAATGAATGATTAAACTTGAATATGTTTTTTTAATCTAAAATAGAAATGTGAAAAGAAAAAGTGGTGGTTGGACTATAGTGTTTTTATATTAAGTTTTTTATTTGAAAATAATCATCTTGTCATTCGCAAAATTCAAATATTTCATGCATATTTCAATCGGCAGTTGCTGAAAAGCATATAATAGCATAAAATGGGAATCTACTTATGAAAATTTGTAAGGTGTAGAAAGGAGGAATATTAAAAATAATATTTGTACGTTTTTTAATGAGAAAAGGGAATAGTTATCGTCGATGAAGATATTAAAGAGGCCGCTGCCTTTGAATTCCCACTTCAAATCGGGGAAATTTTAGTCCATTGACGGAGATTCTTCTTCGTTCTTTGTTTTTCGTTCTTGGGTCGTGCAAGAATTTGCGGCCGACATCATACCCGCCAGCGCCTAGTTGATGTGTGAATTGTGAGAAAAACAGGGGAAGCAAGCAGAGACTGACATATTTGTATGTTGAATTTGGATTTGCGGAAATGGTAGCATATTTAATACGGAATCTGTGCTTATTTTGATTTTTGGGAACAACAACGTGCAGCAGAGCCACACCACAACGGCGCCCTCCTGGATTTGACTTGCATATACGAAGAGCGGGGGGCAGATAGCGGATCCCTCGCGGCTAAACGCCGGACGCAGGAGGAACACCCGCTAATGGCACGGACCAATGACGCCGATGTGGAAAAACTGGAGGTTGATGTACCGGAAACTGCCCATCAGATCAGCAGTGGTTCGTTTTTCTTCGTTTTTGTCTTCATTTTTAGCTTTTCTGATGTGGGTCTTTCTGTTTCTGGATTTTGATTCCATCGGCTCTTTAGGATGCCCTTTTTGAAGGACGACTATGATCAAACGAAGTTCATGTTCATTTCTTAGAGGATAAACTTCAATTTCTTGTTTGTCTGACATTGGTTGTTTAGACTTCAATGAAATTTTCCTTAAACTTGATCTTAAGATTAGGGGTTTGCCCTCTCCAGCCCCTCTTTGAGCTAACTTGGTTGGTTTTTGCAATTCCCAGATTCATGGTTTCAAGTAGGTTTTGTTCTTACCACTGGTATCAACAGTGCTTATGTTCTGGGATACTCGGGTACTATAATGGTTCCTCTGGGTTGGATATCTGGAGTAGTTGGATTAATTGCAGCCACAGCCATTTCATTATATGCAAATACTCTTATTGCCAAGCTCCATGAACTTGGTGGGAAGAGACATATCAGATACAGAGATCTAGCAGGCTTTGTATATGGTATGAGAAGATACCAAACTAAGGGAGTTCTTGCTTTGCCTCCTTTTTCATTACCCCTTTCTTGTGGCTTTCTTCTTGCAGGTAGGAGGGCTTATGCTCTTACATGGGGGTTGCAGTATGTCAATCTTTTCATGATTAATGTGGGATTCATCATCCTTGCTGGCCAGGCCTTGAAGGTGAGATCATTAGAATTACACTGATCTTATTTATAAACTCGTGAAATTGCCGAGTCTTTGTAACGTATGAGTCGAATAGCTTGAAAAGTATAATTGAAGTGTTGGGGTAGGTGGCCTGCTTTGACTATGATCCTTACTTTGCTCCATGTTTGTTGGCTTTCGCATAAAAGTCGAGCAAATTACATCGGTTGCCATCTTTGTTTCTTCATATCCAACTTAATATTTCTTTGTTTCCTATGAAAAAGTCTTGGTGTTGGCGTGTATCAAGTTGGAATGAAACTTTTGACCTATTGAAATCTTGTCTGATGAGAGTACCTTGCCAATAATCTTTTGAACTTCGATGGACCGAGATTTCAGGGGGAAATGGATTAAGAAAGTCGGGGTCCATTTATTTCAGTAACACTTTGCTGTCGATTATAATTAAAGAACGAAAGCAAGCATAAAAACAAAAAGTCGGGTTTTCTTATGAACAATTGAAACAGGTCATTTTATCGAAAACTAAGTTACTCGACAATTCGTTCTGTTTGTATCTTATGTTGTCTTGTTGGATAAATGATGAAATATGGAATCCTTTTTGTATTGTAACCCACGAGATTGATTACTTGAATGTTGTGCAGGCTGTTTATATCCTTTTCAAGGATGACAATGTGATGAAACTTCCCTATTTTATAGCCATTGCTGGCTTCATTTGTGCGTTGTTTGCAATATCAATACCCCATTTATCAGCTCTAAGACTTTGGCTGGGATTCTCAACTCTTTTCAGTTTGATATACATCCTTGTTGCATTCATATTGTCTGTTCGGGATGGTAAGCTTCACTTGCCATTGTCTTGGTTTTGTTCAATACAATATTTTCAATGAAATGGATCTTGAACTTAGAGGATCATTATGTATGGTTTCTGCTGTTTTAGGAGTTAAAGCACCTGCAAGAGATTATAGCATTCCAGGATCGTCGACGAGCAAAGTCTTTACGACGATAGGGGCAGCTGCTAATTTGGTTTTTGCCTTCAATACTGGAATGCTTCCTGAGATTCAGGTATGACAAGAACTTAAGTTCCTTGTTTTCTGAATTACATTACTCCCTGAATAAGATTGTTACCAGATTCGTATGGTTTTGAAATTATCTTCTTCAAACCTTCATTGCTGAAAAAATTGTTGTTGTAGGCGACGGTGAGGCAGCCGGTTGTCAAGAACATGCTAAAGGCTCTGTACTTCCAGTTCACGGTCGGAGTTTTGCCGATGTATGCTGTTACTTTTGCTGGATACTGGGCATATGGGTCTTCCACCTCAGCTTACTTACTCAACAACGTAAACGGTCCAGTTTGGATCAAGGCAGTGGCAAACATATCGGCGTTCCTTCAAACAGTCATCGCTCTGCACGTAATTGTCTTCAATCTTGTGTTTGATGATCTATAAACTTGAGAGATAGATGAGGTTGTGAAAGAGGGTTT